TATTTTCATTCAAATTGTAGGATTGTAACGTTTCTATTGGCAATTTCAGAAATTTGAGATTTGAACGTAGAATAATAAATCCATCAAAACTAAAGATAAAATAATCTATGCTTAGTTGTAGAATACTGAACGCTTCTAGATTGATTGCAGCAAGATGTATTTTTTCATACCAACATCTACTATTTAAGTTTTCATATCCTCTCACACGCAGGTATCTATCAACTCATAAGCACAATAGCAGGGTCACTAGATAAATCCATCATGTCACATCGAATAATAGACACTTAAGGCGATGCAGAATTTAAGCTTTTTCTAGCTTCCAAAGTAGTGAACCGTTGTGTTAAAAATGTGAGTTGCACTGCTAAAATGCGTGTAAAATAAACATTGCGATGGAAACATAAAACACTGAAACTTGAAATATTGATCATATAATTTTCTCGCTATAATGTACTATTGATGCAATAAATAGTTTGTGGCTCGTAATTCTTGAAGAATTAACGAAATCTCAATAAACGTTTTAAAAGTCGATGTGTTCTTCTCAAGTATAGAAGGAACTTATTATACAAGCGATTCCTATAGTGTACACCAATCTACCCTCCGTCATATAATAAAGAACCCTCACAGGTATTCTGATAAACGCTTCTACTGAAAATGGAGAATAATCAACCATTGGTCGTAGAATAATAAACCCTTGTGATGACCTCGTATACTGGTATACCCTCAACGATATTTTAATAAGCGCTTTTTCAGAAAATGAAGAATAATCAACCCTTTTAATGACATCGCTCTACTGGTCTGCCATCAATGGTATTATAGTAAACGCTTTTTCTGAAAGTGGAGAATAATCAACTCTTTTTGTGCCATCGTACATTGATCTACCCTCAACGGTATTATAATAAATGCTTCTTCTGAAAGTGGAGAATAATCAACCCCTAGTCGTAGAATAATATTTGTTCTGCATGAATCGTATAATAATCTACCCCTGATTGTTGGATCATAAACTGATTTTGGAAATACTTATATTAATCTACGCCTATCCGTTTATTAATAAACACTTTGAATAAAATTATGAAATAAAAAACCCTTAAAACAGTTTCATATACCCTTTTTAAATTCATATACCTTTACGATAGCAAACCCTTCGGCTCATATACCCTTCATAGGATATATGACATGCACTTAAACCCTTCAAGGGTTTATAGAAAAAAAATCAAGGGCAAGCGTTCATTATTCTGCCCTTTTTTACAGTGCAGTCCTTTCTCTTTTATTCGCACGAAACGGGAATCGCCGTTACTTGTTGTTGAGTCGATCCTAAACAAAAAAAACAAGAGGAGTGACTGATACTCTAAGATTGAACTTATCATGAGATCAATTATTCACATATACCTAAATAGAAAAAAAACATTAATTCATTTTATCATATTGAACTTGTATTCCAATTGATTATTGCTACTTACCTAAATAAAGAAAATATTGACTTCATTTTACTATATTGACATTACTTTCTATTGATAATTGTGATGTATGAAAATAGATAAAAGAATAAGCGCATTTTATAAGTTATAACTTACTATAGAATTAATTATTGAGACGCACCTACCCATATCCATCAAACCGACTCAGATCCTCAGGCTCGGTATCGATGATGCCGGATTTGAATTCCCAGACCTCGATAAGCTATTTCAAACTTCGATCAGAATTGAAATCGGAGTTGAAATAAAATGTCTAACTTTGCAGCCACGGAATTTTTGATGGACCCAATCTCTGACCAACAGGAGATCGGGTCGAAAAAGTGTGGGTGTGGGTTTGGGCATCGGTGTTGGTATTCGATACTTCACACTCACACCCATACCCATATCCTCAGGTGAAAGAGAAGTATTTTTGACTTGTTAATGAAAGCATAGAGACATTTCAGAGAAGCTGAATAAATTATCCTGTTAAATAAGAACATGCATGAACAGGATTAAAAATAACACAGCATTTTTTTTCTTAAATAGATGTTAATTTACTCTTCCTAGGAGTTCAATGTGAATTGTCTGAGTTAATAAAACTAAGTACTTCAAACTATATGACAACTAGCAGTCCCTCATCTTCAGATCACAATTTATTTTATAACAGTTGAAGTCAACAATACTAGACCGCATATGCATGATACCATATCTCTTTATTAGAGAGACCATTGTCTTCATTTTTATTCGAAATACAAAATAAGCATACGAAAAAAGAACAAGAACACAAAGAAAATAGAATAACGCGGACTCATCACTGTTCATGTGGATCCATCTCAAGAATGTTTTTTGCTTCTAAAATAATGCTTGTTTCAATCTATTAGAAATAGATATTTCCTCATTAATTCAAGCATACGATTATCTATAAAGCTTTTACGTAAATTAGTTAAAAGAACCTTTAAACATAAGAAGTTCCCGTGCTTTACTGCAATATTTTCAAAGATAGTAATGTTTGGATAATGAACAAAACTTAATTCAATGAAAAAGGAGAAAAACGAAATTTCTTGAATGGAATGACGGTTTAGCGCAGTGCACCAAGTTTCAAAGCAAAATTCGTCATTTATTATATTTACAACTGTATACAATTAGGAATGTAAAAATAAGACAAGATTCTCTTGGAAAAGAAGAATTTTTTTTGCATCTCAAGAATTCTAAAAGTTTTAGGAAAACATTTCGCATACACTGAAGACGATTTCGGCTATAGCTGTCGATTAAGTCCTAAAAATGTAAATTATTCAATGGCAAAGTGAAATCGAGAAAGATGAAATTTTAATAGTAGTTCGGTTTTCCACTATGTTTAATGGGTTTCCGAGACATTTTCTCGGAAACTCATAGGTTTCTGATATTTTGGAAATCGCGAAGGGTTTTCGAGATATGTTCGGAAATCCAGCTAGAATTCTGGCATACGCTTTCCACGTTTCCGATCCCCAGAAACCCGAACGGTTCCCGAAAAAAACGCTGTCGAAACCCGATAGATTGCTGACGACACGTTTTAAGTTTCAGAGCAGGTTTTCAAAACAAGAACGGTTTCCGAGGGTAACTTTTGGGTTTCAAAAATTGTTTGATGGTTTCCGAGAGAACTGTTAAAGGTTTACTATCCGAATTCTCGAAAACCGAACTGTTTCGGGGGACTCAGAAACCTGTAAGGGGATTTCAAAAATTCAGCTTAGAGCCGAAAACCTTTCCGGATACGTTTGTGAGTTTCCGAAAGGGTTTGCGAAGGGATTCCGGTTTCCGAGGAAACACTCTTTATTTAGAGTGTATTCTATTAGCTATGAGACGGAGAGTTCTCCCTTTCGCTTGATCAGAAGCAAAATCGCGGTTTAGGCACTGCTTCGCATTTGCCTTCAATGGTTATTTCGACTGCGTTTTTTTATTCATGGTTCTTGGAAATTTTTAATTTTCTTCTCATCGCTACCCCACTTTCACTTATTTATTCTCTGTATCTATTATCTCGATTGAACTTATCCACTCCTCCTTTTGGAAATCTCAGGATCTGTGGTGGAAACTCCCGACGAAGTGGCTGGTTCATATAGTTGCACGTGTAAGTTCTGACAGTCTAGGGCTAAGTGAATCGATTTTTCAATTCATGTTACTTGTAGTTATAAGGGTATAGTTATAAGGATATAGTTGTTAAGGGTATAGTTATAAGGATATAGTTGTTAAGGGTATAGTTATAAGGATATAGTTGTTAAGGGTATAGTTATAATGATATAGTTGTTAAGGGTATAGTTATAAGGATATAGTTGTTAAGGGTATAGTTATAAGGATATAGTTGTTAAGGGTATAGTTATAAGGATATAGTTGTTAAGGGTATAGTTATAAGGATATAGTTGTTAAGGGTATAGTTATAAGGATATAGTTGTTAAGGGTATAGTTATAAAGATTTAAGCAAAAGCGTATAGGAAGAGCGGTAAAAGCACTAAACACCTTTCTATATTTTTGGAATGTTTATTGCAGTTTGGAAGCCTGAGAGAGAAAGCGTCACTGATAATCGTTGCACAAAAGCCCAAAAATTTCCAACATGTTAGGATGGCAATCACCGTTCCCGATTGTGTCACTAACGCTTGGAAAGAATGAGTGCACAATCGTTGGATATTTTCTACCGATTAAACACTCGAAATTTCAACCAGCCCAAAAACTATCGTTTGCACGTTGTGCATTTGTAACCGTTACTGACAGACAGTCGGGAACGCCGATTAGCATCCAAACACGTCCGTAAAGTTTTGGCGTTTACACGTGTTTTTGAAATTTTTTGCCTGCTTGGGTAGTATTCGTTTGATTCACTATTATAGTTATGATTAAATTATTTCACTATAGGTTCGAGTAAAATAAAATTTATATTCCAGTAGCTTATTAAATAATCTTTGGTAATGCTAAACATCAGCTTCAGAGTAAGGAACTCTGATCAAATTTATAGATGATGATATTGAGGCTAAATGATGATTGTCAATCAGAATATTTTTCGGACCAGACCTGTGAAAAAATTTCCTTCGTATCAAAAAAAAACTTATTAAAAAAACTTTTCGTACCTGGCAATCGCCTCTTCAATTAATTTTGAAAGGCCTTGCTTTTTAAAAACATTGAAAGGTAGACCATGTTAGCTCTTGTTTAGGGATATAACGATAGAGCTGGCATTTTACTGTATATATATATGTAAATGAGGAGCTTACATAAATTGATTATTATGTAGCTGTTGTTCAATATATATATATATGTATATAAATATAAGTGTGTTTAAGTGTATATATAAATATATATATATATATTATAATGATAATAATGTTAAAGCAGTTAATAACAAATATCAAGTTGTAAGTAGAGAAAAACAACAACGAATGACAAAAGTGGGGGAAAATAGTATATATATATATATATATATATATATATATACATAATAGAAAATCAATCACGTGAGTCGGTTTATCCGACAAACGACGTAATAGATCACATGATATTAAAGAAACATAAACTTATGTAAACAATTTAGTGTCAGTTAACGGCATCTACTGACGCTAACAGGCCATCACGTATAACAGCGCCGAGAGCCAATTGATGTAATTTATCTCGTACGTTTTTCGCAACTTCGCATGATTTATTATTTTTTTGTGCATCCGGTAAAATTAAATCCGTCTTATTGTGTTTTTCAATTAGGTATTGACGAAGATATGTTGTAGACCAATTACTTGTTGAGATACGTTTGTCACATAAAGCACATTGTGAAAAATTCTTATCATTTCTTGTTACATATTGCCAAACTGAAGATGTTTTAGAGGATAGCAATTCAATAGATTGATCATCATCTAATTATATCCGATTCATAAGTAATCGTTGAAATTCTTGTTGAGTTATTCGTAAAATTTTAGTCGATTTTACGCTTCTTTACGTTTTTGTGAAACACGACCTGAAATGAGTGTTGAAGTGTTTAGGATAGAAATTTGCACCTCCGCCCCCCCCCTCTCACAGACCATTACCGACAGGTAATTCCTCCATCACAGATGGTTACCGACAGGTGATTCCTCCATCACAGGCCGTTACAGGAAGGTGATTCCACTATCACAGACCGTTACCGACCGGTAATTCCCTCACCAGAGACCGTTCGAGACCGGTGAAGCAGAGTTCAAGGGTTAAGACTAGAATTTGAATTCCTTCCAAAATATTTTAATTAATTAGCTAATTACAGTCTAATTAATGAATTAATCTTCACAGACCTTGAAAGAAAAGCTTTGGATCCATCACAAACGGTATTAGAAATGCAGGGAGAAAAGAGAGTTGGAGCAATGACTATGATACACCTCAACAGTTACGTCGTGTTTCACATTTAAATCCCGAAGGGATTGCGCTAACAGCTTTTTCGTTGTGGCACTTCTTTTTGTTTACGAACAATATTCGATGAAGATGCTACGACAGAGTCCGTGTCGCTATGATCACTTGAATTAGAACTTGATAAACTTTGAATTGCTACTTTAGATTTTATGGTTCGAGTTTTTGTGGAAATTATATCATTATTTTGACAGTTATCAGAATTGGACTCAGAAGAAGACAATACCGAAGCCGATTATTGATTTGAAGAGAGTATTGTGTCAGTATTGGATGTAGCATTATTTGCAGAGTTTGTTTACTGTCTAGCAGATTGTCGCAACGTAGACAAGGTAGTTATTGTAGGCATTCAAAACATTATTTAAAATAAATGAGGAAACATCGGATTCGCATCTGATTGTTATGTGTACTGCAAAAACTGCCTAGATTTATATATGTTGTGAATAATTCTGAGAAAAAAACATTTTTTTGAAAAAATCCCTGTAACCCCTCCTCAGGGATGGTCTGGCCAATAATGACAATTGTTTCGATAACTCAGCCATTTCTTGACAGATTGCTTTCATCTTCGAACTCGACTGAGATTTTTTTTTGAGTATGCACTTTTATTACGTCTAGAGACGCTTATAATAATGTGGTACAACAAAAAAGAAAAAAGGACCAAAAAGGAAGAGCAAGAAAGAAATAGAAAAAAGAAAAAGGAACGAAACACGAAACACAGTAACAAAAAGAAGAAAATAAGAAGGATAGTGAGAGAGAGACTAAGGTATGGGAGGAAAGTGGGAAAAGAGTTCATTTGACAGCTTTTGTCATATGATCTTCAATGAATTGAATCCATCGCATTAGAAATGATTCTTGCCTATCCTTCATCTTTTTTACTCTTGACAATCTGAAGTAATGACCTACGCTTAGGTTTTTCTGTTTCACACTTTTGCTTATGAAGTGGTCCCAATTAAATATGTCGTTATAGAATAAAGATTCACCCAGATCTGATCTAGGTGCTCGGATGAGTCTCTTGTTAAGATAAGTTGCTACATATGACTCTAATGGACGCTCCTTTAATACTACTGGGATTTCGTGTGCTGCGATAAACGGACGCCTATGAACTAATCTCAAACCAACTCTAAATTTGCGTTTTAGTACTTCTTGGGATGCAAGTGGTAAAAGAGGGAAAACGGGAAACATCCACGCAAAGAACGGGAAGCTATAAGCGAAAAAACATAGCCTCAGTACTTTGGTGGTGGTATGTTTATTTCTTTTCAACCATTTCAACTTAATATAAGAAATTTTGATTTTTTCTATGTAACGATCAACGGTTGGTGCTAGAGATAGTTTGTCTGTCCATTCAAATCCTAAATATTTGAAACTTCTCACGCAGTCGAGTTGTTTTCCATCCATATATATTTGTATTTTAGGTTGTACTACTTGGGTATGAAATAGTTGTACAACAGTTTTATCCATATTTATTGGCTGCTTCCACGTCACTGATTAGTCAAACAGCTTTTTACATATTTCTGATGCTTTTTTATTCATATATTCTATCATTTTTGGTAGACTTTTCTGGATGGGTGGCACTGTAAGGGCACATAAATCATCTGCAAATATGTGCGTGGAGCATGCATCCGTACGGCTTACTATATCGGAGTGGAAGATAATAAAAATATATGGACTCAGCGAGCTTCCTTGTGGAAGGTCAACTTTGACTTCGAATTCATCTGATTTGCGGCTTCCAAATTCCACATAGGCTTTTCGATTGTTCAGTCAGTTAATTATTAGTTTTAGTAGCTCAAGGGGAATTTTCATACGGTATAGCTTTACAATAAGACCTTCATGCCATACTTTGTCATAAACTTTCTTATAGTCGACATAGATACTGAGCGTTGGTACATTTGCTGCAAGGAAGTTCTTTACCTCCTGGTAGATTGATAGTACTCTAGTTTGTAGTAGATATCCTTTTCTAAAGCCTGATTGTTCTACCGGTATTATATGATTGGTTTCGGCTCAATTTTGAAATCTATTCAACAAGATTTTTTCGTAGAGCTTGGAGTGAGTTGCTAACAGTGAAATAGGCCTGGTTTGATCACATTGTGGTGAGCCTGTCTTCACTTTATTTAGCGTTATTATTTTTGCTACTTTCCAATCATCTATCAATATTCCTTCCGCGAACCAATTATTAAAGCATTTACTCAAACATTGTAGGTAGCCTGGAGGTAAACGTTTGATCATAAAGTTCGATATGGCATCGTATCCTGCTGTTTTGTTTTGGTTTTAAATTATCAAGGGTTTTTTTAAGTTCATATGGCGATGTTAACTCAACTGATTTTGTATATGATTTCACTTGTTTTAAAATGTGGTTGTAATCTATTTCTACTTGCGCGTCGAAAGGATCGTCTCGATTAATTGTAGGAGGAGTGAAGAGGTTTGAGTAGTATTCATGTAATTCTTTCGTTATTTCCTGTTGCGAAGTAATCTCTATTCCATTCACTCTGAGTTTACGGAATGGTAGTGATTTCGGTCGATAGATACGAGAAAGATGTTTCCAAAAGGTTGAGTCAGATCTACCATGATTTTGCTGAATATTTTCTAAAAAGTCGTTGCATTTACTTGATCTGTATATAAGTATTTCTGTTCTAACATGTTTCGTCATTTGGCGAAGACATGTGTTACAGAGAGGTCACCAGTCAACATTACATTGTTATCTGCTGCTCTCTGTCCTCCTCGTTATGCGTATCTATATGGAGGGATTTTCTCCTATTTTTTGGAGAGATTTATATGGTTAATTTTGGTATTCGAAGAATAAAAACGATTGTGCGTATGCACCAAAAAATATATTGATTGATATAGAGAGAAGGAGGGAAACGCTCACAATTTGGCAACCCTGCAAACAACATCAGCATAAAAGAAGAATTTCTTCCAACATTAGATTAATTGATTGGATTAATCAATTGAATTGGATAGAGCCTCTATAAAAGAGACTCGAATATAATAATCTAAAGCCTCTATCAGCAAAGAGACTTGCATTTGATTCAAATCTAGCACCTTAAAGAAGAGATTCGATAGTACCATTCGCAATCAAGTTTCAATCAGGATCGATACAGTCATACATTTATTCATCAATTCATTATTCATAAATTCGTTCACATATTAATAAATTATCATTAACTTGGATTATCTATTAATAATACATTCATAACGGCTACCGGTACCAGATCTCAAATTAGAAAAACCAATCGTAAATTGATTCCATATACTGTAATAACAAATCCATTGACCCGCACGCGCTTACATTCGAATTCTATTGACAATTACGCAAACAATTCCAACAAAATGGCCGATCAAACATTATTAGCAAAAGCTCGTAAAGCTAGATTTGATGATTTACCAAATTTCTCTGGAAATCCTGCTGAAGATGTCGAACGTTTCTTGAAAAGTATTAAAAATTTAACGAAAGCTACCGATGAATCAAATAATCATGAAATTTTGGAAATCGTTCGTGGTAAATTGACTCGATCCGCTGGTAAATGGTTCGATGATAATGAATCTGATTTTAACACATGGATAGATTTCGAAACTGCATTTCGAAATCGATATTTTTCTACAACATTAACTCATAAGAAATTTGACGCATTAAAACAACGTAAACAATTACCTGATGAATCAATTACATTTTATTTCGATGATATTGTTAATTTATGTCGAGAAACTGATTTAAATATGTCAGAACAAATTATAATTCAATATTTGATGAGTGGAATTAATCCTGATTTTAAAAAGGAACTTTCTCGACGTGAATCACCCATCACTACATTAAAAGAATTTTTAAAATATCCAAAGATCGAACAAGATTTATATGACACTTTTGAAAAATCTCGACACTTATCATTAAATGAATCTCAACAACCTTATTTTGATAATAATCATTCATCAATTCCTTCATCAACCGCAATGATTAATAAATCCAATCAACATCAATATTATCGGAAACAAAATGATCGTCGTTCATATCCTGTATCAATACAACAATCCGCTTCATGACAGAACTCAATTCCACAATTAATAAATCAATCAACAATGATGTCGAATAAACAGATTCCTTACGATTTTAAACAATTTACATATAAACAACAGCCGATCAATCGTCAACAAACATTACAAAATAAATTTTCGAAGTGTAAAATTTGCAATCGAACAAATCATCGAACAATTGATTGTTTCCATAAGTGCACAACCGGATGCTTCAAATGTGGTCAAACAAACCATATTATTCGTGATTGTACAATGCTTCAAAATTTTCAATGACTGGGTCACATGATGGCGGTGTTCCCAGTAAATTCGTCAAGCCATCAACAATTTTTTCTCCCATTTACATCAAAATTCGTGTTAATGACCAACCAACTGAAGCAATTGTTGATACAGGATCCGCCATTTCAATCATTCATTTAGATTTCCTTAAAACTATTCATCACGCCAACTTAATTTATCAAACAAAACCATGTCAAACAGCGAACTCAACACCTCTTAATATTATCGGTCATATTAAATTGGAAATAAAAATTCAATCTATATCAACTTATGTCATTATACATGTAGCAACGAATTTGATTACATCGATTATTCTAGGTAATGATTGGATTAATTCGAATCATGTCCATCTCTTTGGCGACCAAAATCAATTAACTATTCCTAGTCAACATGGTCAATTAATTTCAACTCCATATACGCAACCTGCATGTATTAATTATCCAGCTCTATTAGTTCATCAAATTACTATCCCTCCATATTCACAAGCATTAGTTGATATTACATGTCAAGTTAATGATGCGAAAAATCTTATATTTGAACCATCTGAATGTCATGCATCAAGATTTATCTTCATACCACATACATCATTGAATATTAATCAACATCAAGCCAAAGTACTATTAATAAATGCTTTAGACCGACAGCAAATCTTATCAAGAAATACACGGATCGGAACTATTTCTCATGAAACAGCACATTCGGTATTTACAACAACTGAATCTTCAACCACAAAAAATTCTTTTTTAAATGAAAATTGTCAAGCATCATTTCGGCATTACAAAAATTTGAAGAACAGAGCTGTCTTAAACAAAAAAGACAACTCGAAATCATCAACATTAAATATTACTTGTGACTTATGTAATGAACAATTTTTATCTGGGAATGATTTACAGAAACAATTACGAGCAAAATGTTATTCAGATCAGATTCGAAAACACACAATCGAATCGACAAAACATATAGAAAATGAGAAATATCGTTTAGCAATTCAAGATATATTGTGGCGAAATAAAATATTATTTGATCCAACACCATCAATCATCAATACTCCTTCACAATCGGCAATTAAAACTGGTGATCATCCACCACTTTATTCGAAACAGTATTCCGCTTCACATAAAGATCAAGATATGAAATCCCAAGAAACACAAAAATTATTAGAACGTGGTCCAATTGAAGAATCAACTTCTCCGTGGTCATCACCTATTGTTCTTGTTAAGAAGAAAGATAAAACCATGCGATTTTGTATTGATTATCGACGTCTCAATGCTATTACAATTAAAGATGCATTTCCACTTCCTCGAATCGATGAAATATTTGATCAATTATCTGATGCAACATATTATACAAAATTTGATTTTAAATCTGGTTATTTCCAGGTACCTCTCTCTAAAGAGGACCGTCCGAAAACAGCGTTTTCCACTCGCGACAATCATTATCAATTTACAGTGCTACCCCAAGGTATTACTAATGGACCCGCAACATTTCAACGTATAATTAATCATATATTAGGACCCGCTCGATGGAGATATGCATTAGCTTATATTGATGACGTAATAATATATTCGAAAACGTTTGAAGATCATTTAACACATCTTAATGATATTTGCACGATTTTAAAAAATGCTCGATTTCGTCTCAATCCTGAAAAATGTGAAATTGCTCAAACTCAAACAGATTATCTCGGACATCGTATACAAAATGGTGACATTCGTCCAAGTCCGACTAATATAAATGGTTTATTAAGTACAAAACTACCACGGACGGCAGATGAAGCTTGTAAATTCGTTAAAGCTGCTGAATATTATAGGAAATTTATTCCAAATTTTTCTCAAATCGCTGAACCACTTAGGAAATTTGTACCAACTACTAGAACTCAACAAAAGAAAGGACAGAAAACCTTAATTACATTAACAAATGAAGAAACTAAAGCGTACAACCAACTTAAGCAATTGTTAACAGCTGATTTAGTTTTACGTCTTCCAAATAATAGATTCCCATTTAAAGTTCAAACAGATGCTTCTGATGAGGGAATCGGTGGAGTTTTATTACAAACTTATCCAGAAGGAGATAAACCTGTTGCATATATTTCGAAGAAATTTACTCGAGCACAGCGTAAATGGTCTCCTATGGAGCAAGAATGTTATGCTTTTATATGTTCATTAGACAAATGGCATAGTTATTTAAGTGGAATTAAATTTATATGGGAAACCGATCATAAAGCTTTAACACAATTAAATCAAAAAGCTCAGCTTAATAAACGATGTGAGAGATGGAGATTAAAAATCTTGGAATATGATTTCAAGGTGAAATATATCCCTGGCTCAACTAATTCAATGCCGGATTATTTATCACGATCTCCAGTCGACGATGCCGAAGAAGACCCAGTTGAAATTACTCAACTTATTTCTCATTCAACACAAACAGATTTCGAACTCTACAATCAACAATCGTCTATTATCGCCGCTGTCGAAACTCGTTCTTCAAAATTACGTAACAAAACGTCTGATACTTCGATAGATACGACAAGATTAGCATCAGATTCTCCAGCTGACGAGAATCGAATCATTCCATTTTCAATTGAAGCATTAATTCAAGCACAACAGAATGATGAATCCGTAAAAAATATTATTCACAATATCGAAAAACATAAAAAATATTTTATGAAGAATGATCTTTTAATGCATCGTTCAAAACCGTCCGCTCCTTACGTACCGCAAGGTGAACTCCGTCGAACAATATTAAAGGTCTATCATGACACTGCAGCCAATGGCGCTCATTTCGGAAGAGACAAAACAATACACAAAATTAAAACACGCTATTTTTGGCCTTCCATGTACAAAGATATTACTAATTATATAAAATCATGTATTTTATGTGCTCAATACAACCCACGTCGTCATAAAACGCCTGGAAAATTAAAACCAATCAAACCTCCTGATGGAGTATGGCAATTGGTGTCTATGGATTTTCATGGTCCTATTAATCCAACGTCTCAACGTGGAAATAAATATATTATATCGCTTACCGATGTTTTATCAAAATTCGTCGTTACAAAAGCTGTACGTGATAATACTGCTCAAACGGCTGTTCGATTTATTAAAGAAGATATCATTACCAAATTCGGTACACCTCGTTGTATACTTACTGATAATGGTACTCACTTTACATCATCACTGATGAATGAATTATTTAAATGTATTGGAACAACACATTTATACTCAACACCGTATCATCCTCAAACTAATGGTCAAATTGAGAGATACAATTCAACAGTGGATGCAAAAATTGCAGCTCTCTCGAACTTACGTAAAACTGATTGGGATGATCAACTCCCATTCGTTACATTTAATTACAATACGTCAATCCATTCATCAACTAAACAAGTTCCATTTCAAATGATGTATGGTCGTATACCTGTGTTACCCTTTGATTATCAAAAAGATAATGTTATTTTATCTCATGATTCGGAACATGTGAATAAACTCAATCAATTTTTACAAAAATTAAATGAACAAGCAAAAATTCATATTATTAAAAATCAAGAACGATATAAACAACGTTATGATACACATCGTTCTAATCCGTCATACAAAATTGGTGATCTTGTTCTCGTTAAAACACTCAACATTCGTTATAAATTTGATATTCGTTATGAAGGACCATTCCGCATTATTAAAAAAATTACTGAAAAAACATTTATCGTTCAACACATCAAGAAACCAACATTACAACGCCAAGTTACCACAGATGTGTTACTTCCAATTTTTGAGCGGATTTATTAACACCAGGACCTCTAATTAAAGAGATCCGTCTTATAATAATATGTCAAACCTAATGGTATTATTCATTATTAATAGAATTACCTAATGAAATATAATTTAGCATAGTGAAGCCGGAGAGCATGAGTTTCCCTCACTCACTGACTATGAAGGGCTATTATAATTTGATTTGGTTATGATTTTAATAAATAATTATCCATTTATACGAAATACAACTTGGATATATATCATATTCAATTATTCTTAATTAATTTTCAACTAGCTAGTGAGAATTAAAAAAGAACACAATTTCGTAAAAATATCCATTGACATATGAAGATAAGATACAATATCCAACCTCTATCCGTCAATAACTACATCTGTGTTATCTGATAATCATTAGTAGATATGTATAATCTATTAGAACCAATCCTTTAATCGAATAGAATTTCTTATTAGAAAATCGACCATTCCATACGATACATTTTTTTTCCTTTTCTCTTCTCAAATTACCCATGTTATCAGAAGAAGAGTATTACACAGCGCTACAAAAATTACATAATATACCATCTCATCTTCATGGAAATAATCGACAAAATTATAAACAAGTATTAAAGAAACAAATTCAAGAATATGAATATAATTTAAAGTATGGAAACTTCGAACCATTACCATATATCCCATACTTCGTGAACAATATAACAACTGAACAAACATTACATCAACTTATACAGGCATCATCATCATCATCCGAGTTTACACTGGATACCGAATCCATTAATGTATACAAGAAAAAAAACCAACCGGCACTAATTCAAATCCAGGTCTTATTACCATACAATTTATCACTTGTTATGATCGTCGAAATGTGCCACTTACCTCATCATCATACTACTCGTTTTACATTAATCAAACAATTGTTCGACATTATCTTTGCATCAAATAAAACAATCTATATTTGGGGATCAAAGGATGAACTGTTTCCATTTATCATCTTCAATTTATTTTCACGTGAACAACTTCAATCCATTACAACAATTAATCTTCAACATCAATTTAAATTATTTTGGAACCAACATCATCGACGTCATCATCATATTTCGACATCATCTAATATATTAGAAGATCGTTGTATATGTGAAACATGCATCGGCAAGAAACCATCAGAACCTTGGTCACTCCAAGATTCGACTGCCTATTTATTAGATGAGTATCTTCCAAAAATATTAACTCGAGCACAATTTAATATTGGACTAGATCCTAATTTATTTAATTTAGATTCTGAAGAAAAACAATATCGACAACAACTTACCAAATATGCATTAAATGATTGCTTATCAATGCAACGAATATTAATACATATGAAAAATACAAAATTTGAATTTAGTTTTGAAAAAATAATTAAGATTCCATATGATTTAATGGAATCGGTTTCTTCAAGTGATGATGAAATTATGTTTTCACAACTTACACCATCTATGAAACGCCTCACAAATGATCAAAATTTAAATATTAATAAACAAGAACAATTTATCTCAACATCTACATCTGAAAATTCCAATTGGAAAATTACTTCCACCAATAACAGTCGATCAGCCAATCAACGACATACTCAATCCACAAGTGAACGTGAACATCGATATACACATGAAACTCAACCTGTAGATGAACATAAACCGGAACACAAACCACAGCAATTATCAATGGAAGAACGCAAACGTATACATAACCGATCATGCACCTTAAAACAACGCAAACGATTATATCGACAGGAAATCGTTTGTGAAAATACGGATGCTCGATTTACCACTACGAAAATAAAAAAATTACTACGCGAACGAAATATTGAATTTTCCGCTATTAATCGATCTCAATCAAAATTGAATAAACGAACTTTATATATAGGAATAAAAAACATCAATCACATGCCGCGATACGAAATCCTAACCAAATATTTACTCAGCACCGCCAATTATAATCGTTATTCAAGTGATCGTCATCATCGATCCAATTCTCGATATTGAATTGCATTGATCAATTCTCACCAACACAAATTGATTTATTATAAATGATTCTATATTTTATCGCACATTACGATATAACAGTATCAAATACATTGATATCGATGATTAAATGAATTATAAATAAATATGTGTTCGACTTGCACTTAATGATCACCACATCATGATTTATCTCACATGATCTGGATTGTTGAACAAGCGGAAACATTTTTTTCTATAACGTCTCATGATCCATTTTTTCCTCACATTTTCTTTAAAGTGATGTTATATTTGCACTGATCTCATCTCCTACTTCATAGTATCTCATTTGGTTTATTTTGATGATTATATTAGATTGTGATGTTTTCTTTTTCTTTTCCTTTCTTGCTCGATCAGATTTTGTTATTCAAGTTCAGATATCTATGTTGCACACGGAAAAAATCTTCGTTATTATTATTATTTGTTTTTCGTGTTAGATTATCTGCTATTTTTTCTCTCTTTCTTCTTTATTATATGATAATCGTTTACCTTCATATTTCTCTCATCGTCTTTCTCACTATATTTTTTTGGGAATATTAAGCATATCCATTGTTCTTTCGTTAGTGATTTTTTTGCTATTTGTTTAAATGTTGATAAGCCACATTTTTCTCAACAGGGGAGAATGTTACAGAGAGGTCACCAGTCAACATTACATTGTTATCTGCTGCTCTCTGTCCTCCTCGTTATGCGTATCTATATGGAGGGATGTCCTCCTATTTTTTGGAGAGATGTTGATGGTTGATTTTGGTATTCGAAGAATAAAAACGATGGTGCGTATGCACCTAAAAATATATTGATTGATATAGAGAGAAGGAGGGAAACGCTCACATATGGGAACGGGAAAAAAACGTTTTAAAGAAACAGGAAAGACAAAGACTAATAAGGCGGTCAGACGTATACGTCCGGCACCGATAACTAACGATTTACTATATCTAGTGCGCGTTACTAATCCAATCTATACTTAATCCATTCTTTTTCGTTCGTATAATGGAATAATGGCATCTATTGTAACTTGTCGAGCTATAATGTATGCTTCTTAATATGTTGTACGATAAATGTTTTTTTTTCCCAGTTGTTGTGTAATCTTAAAAGGTCCTTCATACCTAATGTCGAATTTGTTTCGCTTGTTTACTGTTTTAACAAGAATAATATCATTAATTTTATAAATTGGATTTGTTCGATATCGATCATAACGTTCTCTATATTTGCGTTGTTGTTCTAAAACCGTGGCTTTCGCTTGTTCGGTTAATACGGATAAATGTTGATTTCATTTTGTCTTGTGTTCTGGATCTTGTGATAAGGTAACTAATGGTTGTTGTTGATCAAAGGGAAAATTTGGCTTATGATCATGTATTAATCCGAATGGAATTTGAGTAGTTATGCGATGTATAGTGGTGTTGTAATTGAATGTAACGAATGGTAATTTTTCATCCCAGTTCGTTCGTTTTTCATTTGATAATGCAGCTATTTTTGCATCCATTGTTGCATTAAATCTTTCTATCTGTCCATTTGTCATGGGGTGATAAGGTGTCGAGTATAAATGTGTAATTCCAATTTGTTTTAATAATTCTGTCATCATTCTAGCTGTAAAATGTGTACCATTATCAGTAAGAATACATTTAGGAGTACCATATTTAAGAATAACTTCATAAATAAAAAATCGTGCTGCAGTGGTAGCAGTGCAATCACGGACTGCTTTTGTAATTATGAATTTTGATAAGACATCGGTCAATGAAATAATGTATTTATTTCCATTCTTCGTTGTTGGTGTGATCGGTCCGTGAAAATCCATTGTAAGTAATTGCCGTATACCATCTGGAGGTTTTATTGGCTTCAAAGCACCAGGTGGTTTTCGTCGTAGCGGATTATTTTGTGAACAAAGTAAACAAGATTTAATAAAATTACGAATGTCAGAAATCATACCTGGCCAAAAATATCGTTGTTGAATTTTATTAATCGTTCGATCACGACCAAAATGAGCACCATTCGCCGGTGTATCATGATAAATTTTCATCATATCTGAACGTATTCGTCCTTTAGGTATGACTGGAATTGGTGGATATGCTTTCTTTATTAACATATTATCTTGGATGAAATATTTCTTATGGTTGCGGATGTCATTAATTATGTTGTTAATTTCTTCATCTTGATGTTGTGCTTCTTTTAATTGTTCCCATGTAAAAGGTATTATTTGCTGTATGTCATTTGTAACCACTGGTGTATGACACTGATTATAGTGTGTACCACAGGATTGTACGATTTCTATATCTACATTCCTCTTTCGGGTGTCCATCTCACAGGTGCAATCTACCGAATGGAGATCTGACCTCTCAGCAACTTGTTGTTTTGCGTGAATTATTCGTTTTGCGTAATTACGGGTGATTACAGGTGCAACGATTTTTGTCTTCATATAATCGTCAGTTTGTGTTGATGCAGATTTCGTTGGTGTATAGTCATCTTCATCATTTGATCCATTATCCACTGGTGGAATATCCCACTGGTGAACGTGATAAATAATCAGCTACTGTGTTATGTTTGCCTTTAATGTATTTAATCGTATTTCGTTTAATTCTTTAATGAATTACATGATTTACTGCCGTGTGCTTTACTGCCGTTGTAAACAATTGTTTACTTATACATTTCTTTATTTTTAGGAAAGTTTTTCTGTGGTAAGTTATATGATTATCTTGGATAATTCTAATGATCACAATAGAAAAGCTATTTAGATTTTTTATGCCATAAGTTTTGTTTTTATCTCAAGGAATCGTAAAAATATATTGAAACCTAACTATAGTTTGTAATCGATTTAATGTATTGATAAGAAAAATTTTTACTTTCTTTATCCATGGTTTATTTGTCATGTCAAAAGTTCCTGGAGACACTTAGAAATCTAACTATAGTTTGTAATCAATTTAATGTATTGAAAGGAAATTATTCATTTTCTATCTCAAAGGTTTATTTCTCATATCAAATGTTCGTTAAAATATGTTTATGGTTGTCTATAGTTCGTAATTGAATAAAAAGATTTAAGGAGAAGTTTATTTTTTAGCTCAAAAGTTTATTTTTCATGTCAAATGTTCGTGAAATTACATTGAAATGTAACTATAGTTGGTAGTTTACTTTATTGTTTAAGAAATGTTTTTAATTCTCTAGTTCAAAGGTTTATTTTTCATGCCAAACGTTCGTAAAAATCTATTTAAGTCTATCAATAATTAGTAATTGAATACGTAAATTGAAAAGAGGTATTTTTAGTTCAAAGGGTCGTTTATTTATTTTTTAATGATTGCAAATGTTTGTTAAAGTAATTATATAGTTCGCGTGCCATTTTTACTCCAATCTAATAATCTGATTTAAATTTTAAATATTTCTAGGATTCTCTGAAAATCGTACCAAATTAGATGCTTCAGAAAATTCTTAATTTCACGAAACGAACCATTAACATTATGTTTCTTATTTCTTAATCGTCTATTGTGATCATTAGTGTATCTGAACTATAATTCATATAGCTTACCAATTTGAATGAGCAAGAGACATGTTAATATTGATTCGAGTAGTTATGTTAATGAAAGAAAACAGAAAGGGGCGCTTTATCAAATTGCTTCATTATTGGTAATTATAGAGAAAAATATGCTATTATGCAGTTGAGGTTTATTGTATTTTACCAAAAAAATGAAAAAATATTAATCATGATTGAAATATCATGAACATGACACTAATAAAGCTTACAGACAGAGAGAAGTTATATCAACTTTGTCGATTGACATTTTAGAAATAGCAGTAGTTGGTTATATAATATGTATTTATCTTGATGTTTTTATTGTAGCGACTGGATGTGTTATTAGTTGAACGAGGCAGGAACGTATAATTCTCAATTTTTAGTCTGATTTAATAAAAAAGATGAAACTCGAAGTGTTCAAAGGAAAGTAGAATTATTTTAATGTTTAATTATAAGAAAGTTTTAAAATGATTTTATTACCATTATCATATTTTAAATAATTATGAAATGTTCAATAAATAATAATGGTATTTTTTTGATGATTTTATTAGATTCTTTATTTTTAATTTTTGAGGATAGTTAGAAAAGGTTGTGAGTGCATGTGCAGGTTCAGCGGATATCGACAACCACACCCACACCCTCAAGATATTCATTTAATAGGCTACCTAGACGAAAACATTATTGTTTTATTTGAAAGAATCTCCACCAACTTAACTAATATAATCAAAAGCATAATTCATTCTGTTTATTGAATTCGGACAAGAAAAACAATAATAAATTCGATTATACTATAAATCCATAACCATAAATAATTAATGAGAAATCGTTAACAAAATTTTCAAAATGAAAATGTATTTTCTCTTAAATTAATCACTCAAATATAAATATATAAGTTACGTATATCTTAAGCATTTTTTGCTTTTAAAATTATACTTTTGTAATGATCCAACGATAAATGATAATATATGTAAATATTGAGTGCAAGAAAACTTTTATGTAAACAACAAACTACTATAAAATATTGAATACACAATTTTAATAATATAATGTTATCATCAATGGATTTAAGAATGAATTCGTTTACAATGAATGTCTTCATTACATATAAATCATATATAAAATATTATAAAAGTTTCATAGATTAATATAAAAAATGATCAATTTAGAAACTCATTTTTTCTACAAAGAACGCTAAATAAATAAAATTTATTCATTATTATTTACATCTATGACCATTTATAAGATGAATCAAATCTATTATATGAGTTTGAAATTTATTTTCAGGCTCAATAATACCACTATCCAATACTATTATATCATTAAATATCATATTATCAATGATAAAATACGTGACGCACAAATGAAACGTCATTTAATGTTTTGCTTTATTCCGATCGATCAAAATTCATTCAAAAGATTATATTATATGAACATGACACCATTATACATAATTTTCTAATTTTTTTACAATACATAGCAATTCAATATGTCATGAATTTTTGCTTTTATATGTGAGATTATTAATTAATATAAATTTTCTTTCGAATAAAAAATAATATTCATATCCAACAGAATCATTTTTCATTTATTGTTATACTAACTTTTAAAAACCTCAGTGCCTTCTTCAGTTTGTCTTATATATTCGTACACTTTTGTTCAAGAAAAACAGAACAAATACTTCTATATCAAAGATAATAATTTATTTACGTCAATGTTTTTTTGTCAGTTAATGCTTAGAAATGATTTCTAAATCGAATACCAATATCTATTCTTTATAGCATTTTAATATTCAATAAGAATTACAATGTTCAGAATGTTTGACATTCAAATTACAAAATTCAATTTAAAAATAAATAAGTATCTGATATTATTGTGCTATATAACTCGTTGTGTATTTCCGTAGAAAGAGCAGGGGGTGGGAAAAGGCGGATAAAAGATTAACAATTAACAATAAAGAAAACACAGTTGAATAAGATTGTTGTTTATTAAAATTGCATATAATCAAAGCGCGCCTTTTAAAGATTGTTTACGGCAGTAAATCGATGAAACGTTACTGAATTGGTACGAAATGAAAAGTGCACCGATGCATGAATGGCTGCATTGTGAGAAAATGATTGAATTAACATGTTTATTATATTAAATCATTTGAAGTGCCCTGTGAGAAATTTTCATGATATATATATATCAATTGAAAAAGTGTAATCCTTTGAACGGAGAATAAAAAACCCTTTTGATGATGGAGTAGAACAATAAATTCATCACCGCAGAATAAAATACTCTTGGAGATAAAATCATATACCTTTCTCCTTAAATCTCAGATTAATAAACCCTTTTTTTCTTGTATCATCTTTTTTTCATATACCCTTCGTTTCATAAACCCTTCAAGGGTTTAGCATGATTTGTAGAAAGGACAAGGGTTTATTATTCTACTCTTTTTTTTTACAGTGTAGTTCTGGTTCGGTGCATGCCTTATAAGAACGAGGTTATTGAATAAACTTTTCACTATATTCTATTGGTCTGATTCTTGAAGATTGAAGGTTTTTTAGCTGAAGCTCTTCACATTTAGACTCATAAAGATTTATCAAGAAGCGTTGAAGTAGATATTTGTTTGCTGATTGATAGCAAATGTTACGAGCTATAAAATCATATACTTTTCATTTTCAACAAAGCTTGGCCAACTGAGAAATCGCATAGAGAGTATTCAAAAGGTAGGATTTTGTGCATTTTTGGTTACTTTTTGGCAGCTACTTTCAGAGAAAGTTACTATTATAACAAAAAAATAATAACACACCTGGAATCAGCATCCAAGACTAAGTTAGTTTACAAGTATTTCTACTTGTTCTTTAAACTTTTAATTTTTTTCGAAAAATTCACCTGTGCTATCCCTCAGGCTTCGGTCAAAAATGAATTTCATCTAAAACTAGTTTAGATGATTGTAATTAACGGCGAAGCTCAAGAAATCTACTTTGAACATGAAATGATGAGTATTCGAATTATGAAAGAAAGATTTTGAGAAAACTCATTTTTGGTCAGAGCCTGAGGGGTAGCACAGGTGAATTTTTTGGGTGTGGGTGTGATTTATTTCTATGGATACGCATCCACACCCACACGCCACACCCAACTTTATTTTTTATTTTTTATTGTTATTTTTATTATTGAGAATAACGAACCAAGAGAATAAAGACGTTTAACAAAAGAAGGGTGTGGCTGTGGGTGTAGGTGAAGATATAATTCTACTGTTCACCCACACCCACACCCAATTACAAGGAATAACAAAAGTTGATAATAATTAATCACATTAAAATTATTTAAAAGGTAATAAAAAAAATTCACATATCGGATGATTTACTATTATTTTTATGCAGAATCATGAGGTACTTTTCACATGAAATAAAGCCGTTGAATTTGTCAAAATCTGTCCGATGTAATTGATGATTTTATTTCATTACTTTTTTGTTCCACTTTCCACTGTTGAATTTCTACTAATGATCGAGCACAATCATCTCTTTTGTCAGCTACTGGAAATTTTAAATTTGTTAATTTTTGTAATCTTAAAATTCGTACTGCTTCGAACATTTCTTTATTTTTACAAATTTCAATAGTTGAGTATGAATGTAAATCACTTAAAATTGCCTGTAATTTAAATAGTTGTTTTGCTTTATTTGTGCAACCACACCAAGGAAAAGAACTCCAGAATTTGCTATCAATATATTCATGTAATGATTGAATTAATAAATACAACCAATTATTCTTGTCTGTACTATGTTTATTTGCCGTATTACTTTCTTTTTTAATTACACTAGCGATTTCATTCATTAATTGATCTGTTGACTGAAATTCGACACTTTCTCGATCGTATTCACGCTCAATAATCGACATAACAAGACCAACTAGAATTTGATTGAAATTATAGCTATTTGAATAATTTGTGAATATACAATTCGCTAATTCGCATTTTTCACTGATTATCAAATGAGATTTTTCGAATCCTCGGTAAAATAAAATGGCACATAACAATCTACCGAATTGTGAAGTCAAATATATTTTTGTTTGGACAGTCCTTTGACTTTGAGCTTCATTATATACTTCATCAACTACAATCTTACAGTCGTGAGAATGTAGTACAATTTCATCGTGTTGTTCTGTATTTACTTCATCCTGTAATATGAAAGGTACATGAGATTTGGTTAACCGAGGATCATCACAAGTGACCATAATTACTCGATTACCGATTTGAGAATCTAAAGTAGATTTATATACATATTTATTACCATAAACAACATTCATAAAATGTGTGGAATCTTCATTTATTGTATTGTCATATACTACTTGATATAAAAATCTATGATCTTCTTGTTTTTCATAATTTGTTCTAATTTTATTAGCTTTCGCATTCAATTCCATGGTATGTGGCCTTCTAAATCCAATGCCCGACCAACGATGATTAGTCGCTTCAGATTTAGTTTGTTGCTTTTCATCAATAAATTGTAAATTATCGTAATCGAATAAAGTGAAATCCAATTCATCCGGGTGTCCACTACCGATACAAATAAAACCAGCTTTATTAGAGGACTTCATATGTTGTAAAAATAAATCAGATTTAATTTTACGAAATGTTGATTCAGGATTTGAATAAATAAAGATTATTAAATCTGCTGTATTCAACCATTTTATTTCTGGATGATGAAATGCACCATATCGTTTGATATCCCATATTTGATTTGAATAGTTAAATAACTTAAATAGATTCTGATATGCAAGAAACTCCGCTCGCTTAAATTTAGAATTTGTAACAAGAAGTACATCAGTATGAATATTTGGTGTAAATATTGGTACAACTTCAGTGGTATTTCTACGTTTTTCAATTTGTGTGTCACGTAACAGTAAATCAATATCCCAAAATAAACTTTTATAGTAATGATTAACACTTTTGTCGTGTAAAGTAATTTTAAATTTAATAAGTTCTGTTGACTTAGGTGAGATTTCTTTATTAATTTTATAATAAGTTCGTCCATCAGGCATTATTTGGTAACCATATTTTTCATTCATGGGCAAAAATTTAATTAAAGAATGAGTGGAGAATATAAATTCTACTGGACCAGCTGAATCTTGACATACACCATACGATCGTGTAGAAATATTAGCAAATTTTACTGTCACAACGGCTTGCTCATTTGGCGCTAGGTGAGTTGGAATTTCAATATTTTCTATTTGAATTGGATATTGACAGGTTAACATAGTTGAAACTTCACTACCGTTGAATGAACGATTTAGTAGATTAATTTGTGATGTTATTTTTACGGATTGAATGAACGGTTGATTAATTGAAAGAGCCGATGTAGCATTGATATGACATTTAAATCGATGAGAATCGAGTAAAACTTGATTAATATTAGCACCTGTCAATACACTAACATCTTTTATATCAGTGGAAATATATTCTGTAGATGGAAATGATAATAAAGATCCACTAGGTAAGGTCATTGCTCCGTTATTTGCCCATTTAACATCTGTAATATGAAAATCTGAGTCGGGCTCGTAGATTCCATCATTGTTTTGGTCAGTAATAGTATAACAAATGACACTAGCATGATATTTATCAGAACTAGTTTCAATTATGTTACCATCTATATCGATCACAGCGTATTGAATTGAGCCATCCATTGCAGCACGACCATTACGACCATTGGAACCACTTATACCTGATGAACCACTACTACCACAGGATCCAGATCTACCATTAGAGCCATTCATACCGCTGCGACCATCTGGTCCACCACTACCGCCAGATCCACCGGAACCGCCAGCTCCACCGGAACCGCGAGAACCAAATTGGCCACCGCTGCCACCTTGACCACCTTCACCTTTTGTGCCTGCCCGGCAATCCAACTCAATTAACATGAATAATCGAGAATCTCTACTGCGAACTTGAACATGACCACCGGCGCCTGCATTTCCTCCATTCCCACCGGATCCACCGTTACCGCCGTTACCTCCATCCCCTCCGTTACCTCCAGGTCCACCATCACTTCCGTCGGCACCATTAATACCTTCCATCCAAGTACTGGATCCACATGGGCCATTATAACCATGACCACCAGATCCTCCATCCCCTCCTCTTCCTCCGTTACCTCCTCGCCCTCCATCTCCTCCGTTGCCACCTACAGCCTTCACAAGAATGATCCCCTTCGATTTAGCCAATCGAAAATCATAATTGACATCGTCATGCAGTTGAGCGAAATTCCAGTCAATATCAGTGGAATCCTTCGATGGATTATTTGAGTTATGAAATGTTGCCAGTTGCAAGTTCAAGTTTTCAATCGTTCCTTTTAACCAAATCAGTGCATGTTGAGCATCCGTACCAGATTGACCTGAATGACCATCAAACCCATTACTACCATTACCGCCTGTACTACCACAACCACTCGTCGCATCACGGTACCCAATAATCCCAGGTGAACCACTAGTACCAGGAATCCCAGATGAACCACTAGTACCAGGAATCCCAGATGAACCACTAGTACCAGAACGACCATCTGAGCCTGACTTGCCGCTAATAGAAATTACATGATCCACAGGTTTCACTAAAGATCTTGTACTAACGTTATAAACATCGAAAGGAAAAATTGGTAATTCAACCTCTGTTACTATACTCATTATACTACGTTGATTAAAATGAAGAAAATCGTGTGTTATTTGACTGTTATCGAATAGAGAATATATCTTCAGCTACTGCTATGTGTCTTGTAAAAAACAAATCAGTCTTCTTATCATTATGAATGAATACATGTGAATCAAGTGGCCACGTTACTTTTTCGTTTTTATGCTCATACGTCATTCTACATGCGCCTGTTTTTTATCTTGCCTATTATCATCGATAAGAACTTAAAAGGGTCTCATCATAAATAAAATAAAATGTTTTATGAAATTCACTCTTTTCGAGGAAACTGATTTCGCTCTCTGAAAAAAGAAGTACTATTTTCGGGAATTTGCTCGCTTTCTGAAGAATTTTACGATAGATATACAGTATAACCTCTCTATAGTGGACACCCAAGGGCCCTTTTCAAAGTGTCCACTTTTGGGAGGTTTTCGATTTTTTTTACTTCGAAGTCATTTTTTAGTTACCAAAGTGTATGATCGACAGTCTCTATATCAATGACACTTTGCAAAGAAGTGCGTGTTCAAGATGGTTTCTATCATAATTTATTAAAAACTAATTAAACTTCGTCATTTTTTTTCGAAATAGTCAGTAATACAACTTTCTTAGGGCACTGTCCAGTCAAGATAAACGTCAGTCAACTTCGACTCGATTTCGCTGATGAGTACGGGTGTGGATGTGGCTGAGGTTGAAGCGATTATCAACACTCACACCCGTTAATTCTCTAAGAATTAGAATTTCTTTTTGGAATTATGCATGAAAAACAATCAGCAATAATTCTGTATCCTACTGGCAAAGTGTACTCAGGATATTGAACATTTTTTCGATATTTTGTCAAGTTATGCGTCTGTACAACAGATATGGTTGACTCCTGTGGGTCTGGACCATTAGGACTAGGATCAGAAAATTGTTCAATATATTTAATCGATAACCAATGAATTTTAAAAAATTGAGTGCACGAAAATTGGTAACTTCACATAGTTCAAAAGATGGAATGTTCTAACTCAGTTTGCTTTTATGCTCAACTATAAACAGATTTCATAGATCAAGTTTCAATATAATGACAGAAGAAATTTTTATAGAGAGTAAACCACCCATGGAAACAAAACATTAAAAATTTACAATAAAATAATGTTGAAAACGAATAAAAGCTCGAATTCATGGATTGGAATGAACAGTTTTTTGAATTTCTTTGTATGATTTCAGTGAAAAGTATCTATGCCTGTTCTTACATTACATTTTCTACTTAAAAGACTTCAATTGAAAATCTACATTCGATAATTTTTCTCAAATAACAAAAACTGTAAATTCGCAAAACAAAATCTAAATACCAAGAAGAAACAGCAACCAGTTGATCATTTGTACTAAATTCACAATATGATAAAGGACGATTATCACTCAATTAACTGCAATGTAATGTTGTGGTCTAGAAAAGATAATTAGAAAAAAAATAGACGAACAAGAAAAATTTACTCGTAAATTCACGATATAAACCTTGAATGTTAGCTGTTCGATATACTTCAGGTATAGCAACATATTCTTTTAATTTTTCAATACGTTCTTTTGCTCTAGAATATAATTTAAAATAATATTTCTATGCAAATATAGATCTTTTACCTTGACAAGGAATATTCTGCAATCCAATATCGTACTGTTTGTAATTCATCAGGACCGTCATGATACCAAGCTACTCTGTTAAAAAAATTAAAAACAAAAAAGCCAATAAAAAATTTAAATAAATTATTTTTTTGCTTTTATTTGTCTTGTATCTTCAACTTTTTCATTGTCTTCTTCATTTTTACGTAATATCTTTGCAATTTCATTATCAGATAAAGATGATATTAGGTTTTGAAGACGTTTACGTCGTTCGGCTGGACGTTCTCCAAATAAACCTAAATGAAACCAAGAAATAATAACATTACTGTAAAAACCGTATCAATTTTTTCTTGCAGATAGGTTGTTCTAGTTGACGTAACGTTGCTTGGATTTTAATATTATCAGTTGTGGCGTTCATTTTTCGATGCTTGTCACTATAAAACATAGTTTTATTACAAAAAATAATCTAATAGAGAAAAACAGAAACAGCAACTGACTGTAACAAAAAAACGAATAACGTAGGTCGCAAACAGACTAGGCAATTTATATTGATACGTGCTGCGTAAGCCAGTCGGAGATCGTGTCGATAATATACGCTAACGACGAGTAGGGGAGTCACATTTTAATTTTAATTTAAAATAAATGCAATTTTTTTAATGAAAAGTTAAAGCTAGTCACTCTTCTACGAATTGTGCTATTAAATATATATTTATGGGTATCCCGATATTTTGAAGAAGAAAGATGGCCGATCCTGCATAATTTGTAGAGAAATTTTGATTATTATGAACAAATGTTAACCTTGGGGGTGGGATGTGTGTGTGTAAATGAAGAGAAGATCGATACCCACACACTCAACTAACGAGAGAACCTTTCTAGATCATAAAATCCTTTTGAAATAGGACACTTCATTAGATAGCTCCTATCAAGGCCAGACAAAGTCTAGAATGATTCATGCTCACGATAGTCATTTTATTGGTTAAGATAATCTACACATAACACAATATTGTGCGCAACTTATCCCAGAGCATGCTAGTCAATGGAATTGCATTTCTTTCTTTATTCTTATCTCTTCAGAAATTCTTTTACTTTGACGTATATTGAAAAAATGTTCATAACCACATATATGTTAGTTGAAGTACAATATATTTTTTTAAATATCAAATTTCCCCCATGAAAATATAGTAAATGCTGAAGTTAAACTCATGCAGATATATTATTTTCAATCTATATTATAGATTGAAAATAATAAAACTACTAAAAATAAATAAATCTGTCTTTCAAATCGAATTAATATTCCTTGATTTGCATTCATTTCTAGAGAAATCTGTGTACTCTCAAAGAAAATTTCTTTTTTACTCAAGTTTTGGATTATTTTTCGGTGATACAATGAATTTTTCTGACTGACTCATTCCTTGTTTCAATTTGGATTTTATCTTGCAAATAAATTTAAAGAAAAATTTCCAGGCAAGATGGTTAAGTATTAGTTGGCTAAGAAGCTAATTTTCAAAATACAGAAGCAACAAAATCAATTATCTCATCGTGTAACTACGTGATATAAAATGCTTGTTGTATAAGTTTGCGTCAAGAAAATTTGATAGAAAAAATAATTTATACTTACGTTAGTGATATATACAAAACTCAAGTCCTTATTAAAAATCTCCTGATAGTCATTAATCTGTTGGGTTTGAAAATTTAGAACTTTTAGCTACGAATCGTCCGGAAATATGCACGGACAAAACAACAAAATTTTTTCTGATGATGCAAAGCGAGGTTTTCAACACATCTAGTAGCTATTTAGCAAAGATATATCACTAGCATCATTTTTTTCTAACCAGAGAACATAACCAAGTGTCGAATAGAACTAAGAAAATCTTAAAAGGCTTTTGGTCAAGAATATCAATACTTTCAGTGCCGAGATAAAATATATATTTCAAAAGATGCAAGTGTTAACTTAATAGTAGTACGTAATAAAATTGTTGCTTATATCCAATGATCAATTTGTCCCAGTAGCACGTCTAAATAAAATTCGAGGAATTTAATCTTATCTGACTTTAAGAAACCTTCTAGACGACAATGTAAGGATGCAGTATTCCTTATAGGATTCATTTAAAAGAATCTATGGATATTTCTAGAAATGATTTATGTCTTTAAGCAATCATAAATGCTGTATGAATATCTTAATTACAGAAATTATAATAGGAAAATATCTTTAATAGATTATTGTTTTCGTTCGACACAGAATAATAATAAAAATACCAAAAAGTTGCCTGTAAGTAAATTTAGTAAAATCGATATATTATTTCGATAACTGTTTATAAATTACATTGAGAAAAATAATACGAATTTTTTTAACTTTTGAAAACCCGCACGACACTCGTGATGGGACATCGGCATATAGGACAGTCAGATAATTGTTTACCACAACGAATACACGTACATAGATGACCACAATTAAGAACGACACAATCAATATTTGCATCCAAACAAACTTTGCATAGATTTTCGTTGGGGTCTTCTTTAGAGACTTAAATAACAAAATCAACCACAAATGATGTAGAAAAAAAACAAAAATTATTTTACTTTTTGCATTTGATTCTTTCTTTTGTTTTTCATCACGATAAAGTAATTTAACTTTACTAGTTAATTCTGATTTTTCAACACATCCAGCAATCGATACATAACTATGTACAAGAATTTGTTGTAATTGTTGAGTTGTTAAGTCATCTATTGATTCTAATGTTGATATATCATTGAGAGTCATGCAAGCATAATTTAATTTTGGTGAAGCATCTTCAATTGGAGCTATCGGTTCTGAATGTTCACTTACACATGATGAGTTGATATTTGACGATGGTGTCTAAAAGCAAATCGTAAAAGAAACTAAATAAAAGGATAAGACATGAATCATTCATATCAAAATTTTACGGACTGAACAATCATCATACTATTGTTGAGATACATCTTGAGGGTGTGGGTGCGAGGGTAGAAGTCATTTCATAACACTCTCACTCCACGTCCACGTCCACGCCCACACCCTATCTTTCTGTAAATCAAGACTTGCAGAACAATACGTCTAGTTCCAGAATGGCTTCATCAAATGCAATGAAAGTCTCATAATATATAGCCAGAGTAAGTCGACCCCTGACTCATAAAGTATTTCTATTGCATAGTTATGAGTTATGCAATAGTGACAGCCAGCATGTATTATTAGTGTTCTGTGGCTAATTCAATAGAGGCGAGAGTTTTGTTTCTGACCTAAACTGATCGAAAGCTATGCAACCTACATGTTTTTAGAGTCATACCTATTAGGGAAGCTGAAATCCGAGCAGCAGTGGCAGAATTCTGCTGTTCAATAGAACGCCATAAACTATTCATTGATGTTGCTATTCCTTTTTCTCAGCTTCAATTTTTCTCGTATTTCTACCAAATTTATTCTGCACAGATTCTTGGAACAGGTTTCTAAAATTATTCGTGCTACCATGCACTGCAAAAAATTTCTCCGCTAAAAGTCTCACTTTCCCAGTCAGACAAGTTTTGAAAAAAAAACGGTGTTTTTTTCAACGCTTGTCTGACTGGGTTAGGAGTAAGCTCGGCATGGTTTTAAAATTATGAGAGATGGTTGCTTAAATTTTTTCTCGCTCACTAGTTGTTTTACTTTTTCTACTTCCTACAATTTTCATCAGCATCCATTGTCGCGTTGAGAAGATAGATTTTTGAGGGAGGAGGACCGGGTTTCCCGTTAATTTACATAAAATAGATCTCGTTTTCCCTAAACTCAGTTCAATTTGAAACTTTTGAACATTCGGTCGGTTAGGTTAGCAAAAATGCCAACCGATCCCATCTCTGTTCCCCACCAGTCGTATACTTCACTAGTTATATATTGTTGCAAAGAGATTTCTGTCTTTTTGGAAAATGATATTGCCCCAAATTCAAATTCCTCAACATATGTACTTATAAACTATCGCATGATTGCCAGTATTTATCATTAAGATTTTAGATAAAATGAAAGATTTCTACATTCTATTTATTCTTACGTTGGATAATGTTGATTTATTTGAAACATTACTCGAACGTTTTGCTCGCCTAAATCGTTCCAAATTATAACGTGCAAAATATAATTTATAACATTCAAAACCTTTTTTGATATAAAATATAGAAAAATAAATAAATAATATATTCTAAATATTTGATTTGTAATTGGTACCTTTAGGTGATAAACTTGTTAGATCAAGTTTCGATACACGTTTTTCAAATAAAGCTAATTGAGAGTCTCGATTAAAATCTTCTACACATGTTATAAACCAATTTAAGCCAAGTTCACGACCAAATGAACTTGCATTTTCATTTGTGATTAATGTATCCCATAATTCTTCACTACGTTTTAATATTAAATAAAGATTTCCTTTTTTTAATAAAAATGATAATAAATCTAAATGAGTTTTAATTGATTCTTGATGTGTAAAACGCCCATCAACTAATGTATCAATCGTTACATGTCCATGTGTTTTATTCCAAACATCTAATTGACATGTTGATAAACTTTGAATTAATGCTGATATAACATCATGCTTATTAACTAATAGTGATATTAAATCTGGCTCTGAACGTTTAAATGTATTTGTTGGATTATGAAGCAATAATTCATATAAATGTTTTAAAGCTGATACAAGCCAACCTTGATTACGTTGTAAATCGGTCATACATTTAAGACAATAATCACGTTTAAGTTCATCATAAGATGAGCGACCCTCACTAAATACACGCAAATGACAATATAGAAGATGATCAAGCATTGAACGATGAAGTCGATCTTCATGTGCCATATCCCAAAGCACTTCTAAAACACGAGCAGCAGAATCTTCTTGACATCCTCGACCGATAGCACCAAGTAATTCAATAAGCTTTTCTTTTATAGGAATGGTTTCAGTTTTCCATGACTATATAAATAATACTCAATTATATATGTGGGCAACAACAAAAATTATTTGTATTACGTTATCAATGAAACCAATTAGACAGTTGAGTTGTTCTAGATTAAATTTCGTTGCGGCAGATGCAATCAGACTCAATAAATGATCCACTGTGGCTAATGATCGACCATGCTGAAAAAAGCCCAAACACTAAATACGCTGTTCTTGTTTTTTTAAAGTCTAGTAGAATCGGTAGACTCGAAAAAAGTTATCCATTGAAATTATGAACAGCTGAATTAATTTGTAGCTTAGTTTCTTTTCTTGATTACGTTGTAACTCATTCGCATCACCCGGTGAGTCACAAGAGTATTGTCGTGTGTTCTATCGAGTTTTTGATCAATTTCTTCACGATCCCTTTATTTGATCTCCTCCAAAATATTAATTAAAACTTACTTAATATATTATAACGAGACAATATTTCTATACGATCATACATCAATAGCATATCTTCTGACTTAAATGAATAATTCGTTGCTAATTTGCCAACTAAGTGTGATTTGGAGGAGGTCAGAAATTCTACATTTATACTTTAACAGTTATTTTAGATTGCGTTTCACAAATGAAAGATTGCGATTCAACAGGAAAAATAAATTTTCAGTATGTACAAATCTGATACGAATATAAAAAGGGAACAACATTAGAAGTTATTTTACTGTTGACACCTAGAATCTGATCAGAAAACCATAGATATCGTACTTTCGATAAGCCATTTAACCCATTGAGTAGGAGCTAGATTACAGTGATAGCATAAATCAGCCGAATCAAAGCACTATTTAGGATTTAAATAATGTAACAACATTTATTATCTGTTCGAACTCTGAGAAGATTCTTATAACGTTTGGGCAAAATTATTTTCTCATCAACATCAAACTTTTAACAGAGTATAATGTTTGTGCAAAGTGTCTATTGCTCAAGAGACCTTTTTTTATATGCAGACTTGCAAAAGTTGCAAGATAGAGCAGATTAATTGAAGTGAAAACTGTGACACTGGTATTCTTAAAGAATTTCGTTATTCATTAGTCTCAATAAATATCAGTTTTCATTTTAAGTGATAATTTTTCTCGGAATATATCAAGAAGGAAACGACGTACTCTCGCATTATTGGAGTCCAGAAAGTACAAGAGGCACACGAAGTTTAATATAAAACGTGTTTAACTCAATTAAAAATGGCATATTCTCATATTTTCTGGATAGCTGTAGCTCCTGAACTCCGACAGCACATTGGGAATGCGAAGATACATCGTTCCGATTTGTACTCTCTGTAGCGCAGATCATGCTCACATATGTTGCATTCGGTAAGAATTCGATTCCCTTTAGTTTAATGCTTGGAGATTATTATGACGTTAAACTCTAGTTGCCATTTGTAACGGTATTACGAGATCAATGGTCATATTTCGTATTAAGTAGTATTTACAATTTCTAAATTACCAATTCATCGTTCTTTAAACTAGTAAATAATTAAGTCTCTGCAAACCTTATTAAATTTAATTACATTCTTCTGTTAAAACTGGTAAAATTTAAAAAAGCGGTTAGCGCAATCCCTTTGGGATTAAAAGTGTGAGACACGATGAAACTTCTTTTCTGGAATTCGTCCATTACTATCACTGGTGGTCTGTGGAGCTTCTCTATTACAGTCTGTATTATGATGTATGGAGTCTCTAGAAACCATCACAGACCGTGACAGAGGGACTTCAGAAACCATCACAGACCGTGACAGAGACCTCAGAAACTATCGCAGACCGGGACAGAGAAATGAATTAATTAATCAGCTAACTAATTAATTAATTTCTCTGTCCCTGTCTGTGGGGGGGGGGGGGGGCAAAATTTAAACCAAATAAAAAAATACTTCAACACTCCTTTCAGATCGTGTTTCACAAAATATTACCGAACTAATAAGTAACTTGAACCTATAGCTACCTCAAATCTAATATAATGAGTGTGAGATTCGCATGTATTCTTTTCAGACATCAATCATTTTTGTTTGCTTCTTTTGACTTGTCCTATTTTCTGCTGTCTAATTTCCAACAAAAGATAAGTAAATCTTCATTCATGCACGAGAGAAGAGTACAGATTAAAAATCTTATTCAACTAACTTATTGAATATTTCAAGGAGAAAAAGATATAAATAATATTGAAAAATATATACCTGCATTTTCCATATCATTTCAATATCTTCTTTTAACATGCTTGGTGCGATGAAATCCACGAATGTTCGAGCTTTTTCTACATATTGAATTTGATCAATATCTCCTATTCAAATAAAATAAAAGATAAATAAAATAAAAATTTTATTTCTACCTTCTAATACTTTCGAGAGAATAGAATGTTCAATGATCCATTTACTAACAATATCACGTGGAATTGATGTAGGATCTTCAATTATTTTTGAAAGCTGCCAAAAAGAAACAATTAAAATAAATATTTCAATCATAAAATTTATTTTACTCCTTTTAATGAATTCATTTTAGCATTAAAATCTGATAGATTAACCATTTTAAGTAATATATTTAAATGTAGTTCTTCCATTTGCGCAACGCGGTTTTCCCATACAACAGAAGATATTTTACGTAAAGTTGTAAGTAATTCAAATATTGAACTTGCTGACTAAACAGTTTACATAAAGATAATTTTATTCAGAGGAAGAAAGTAATAAAATCTAACAAACTTCTGTTTTATAATCTTCTTCTTTACAATTTTTAACGTAATTTAAAGCTTCTTCAACATGTTCACTAAATAATTGTTGATATTTGTCTATGAATAGATAATCCATACATTGAACAAAAGGTGAAAGCAATGCATTGTATTCCTATATTTATCAAATAATTAGCAAAGAAAATTTAGAAAGAAACGAGAGATTTGAATTCTTACAAGAGCTGTCAATGGTTGTTCACTTTTAAATTGTCTTTTTAAATTTTGTATTCCATCTTTTAAAACAAAACGGTTTATTATTTCACGCAGCCAACCATATTGTTCATTTTCATTAGAATCAGAAAATGTTGACGATGATGACTTAGCCAATAAACGTTCACCCAATTGTTCATCATAATGTGAACCGTTATATGATCGGTTTTTATTTTTTTGTTGAAAAACTGAATCATGATCAAAGAGTATAGCTAAAGTTTCAAGTAATTGTGTTGGTACTGGAGAGTAAGCAAGACGAGCAGCTATCAGATCAACTAATAATTGCATCATATCAAAGATACCTAATTGAACCATAGTTGACCAAGTATTAACAGGATCAGAGCATTGTAACTAAAATATCATACTATATAAACCAATAAAAAACAAAATCGATTTTTCATACTTTTTGAAAAGCAGCTGGAATTAATATTTCCATAAATTTTTTGCAATGCTCATCTTGATCAGCGATTCCTAAAATTTTAAAATTACAAAAAAATTAACTAACTATTAGTTTAACCATCAACTGCAAGTCTCGTAGCAGATAAAAGGCAACGACCAAGGTTTTCTTCACCTAAATATGCGCAAACGAAACATTTAGTCGTAAGAACATTTATTCGTATTAAATTTACGTTTAATAGGAATCGACCATTTGTCTCGATAGACGCTGTTCTCAAGATCCAGAAAAGCACTTGTTGTAAATGAAGCCGAAGTTTCCATCGGTAATTCATTTGACGATGTATTGGAAGTTTTGTCTAAGGTGATCTTTAGAGAGAAAAGAAAAGCGGTTTAAATTAAAATCGAATTCTTAATTTTACGTTTTGTTGTTGTTCTATTTGGTCTTCAGTAAGTGAACCAGTAAATATTGATGTTGGTCTTTGCTCGTTGAAAGTAACAAAGTCGTCATTAAAAAAGATTGGCCCCGTCAGAAAAGTAATAGCTTCAACAATATCATTTTCAGCTTGAGTTAAAGCCTGGCGATTTAATTCTCGATCGATAAAACCCATATTTTCTAAAATTCCCATATTTTCTTCCATATTTGGTAAATTAGTTGCTGTTGATGATGCAGTTAATAATATAATTATAAAAAGGAAACGTTCTAAAGAAATACAACCTGAATTTAATTTCTACCGAGCAACACAATTTTTACTATCTTTATCAATGTGAGAACCATCCGAAGGGTGTAGGTATCAGAGAAAAATGGCCACCTACACTCATACACAAGCTCACTGACACTTATCCACACGTCATCGAGTTCATAGGAAACTCGAATTTGCCGCAAAATTATTTTCCAGAAAAAGAAGCATCTTAGCCACAAAATATAACTTACGAGATATAATCTGGCATGAGGCTGCATAAATCTTGATGCCACTTATACCTCGCATAAATACTGTGGAGAAAATGATTTTGCTGCAAGTTCAAATTTGTCAAATTACGACTTCACCCAGGTTAGCATTATTGTTACAATCACAATCCCACAGACGTGATCCTCCTCGCAAAAATATAATACTGGAGAAAGCCAAAATAATGTCACTGTCTTCATTGGTTCTTATCAAAATGTAAGTTGAAAGGAAGTCAGAGAGCTTCGTTGGTGTGGGTCGAAAGGTTTTGTTTTTGCAGAACGCCAAGCACATTTTGCCTCAATGACTGTTCCTTATTCTGCAACGAGAGATATTGTATTAGACGTCGGTGCGGGACTTCTCTTGTATTAGCCACATGTCCGCACCTACACCCTCAAAGCAAGGGAAGAACTCGAATTTAGTGAACTTGCTAATACAATTTCTATGCAGAATATTAGATATTTTTTATCATACGCGACGCTGAGATTTATAAAGAAGATAAAAATGAATAACTGTGAAAAATGCAATGGAACTACGATTCTCTAGCATTATGCACAATTTCTTTTGAATTCTACACGGAAAACTTCTCTGTTATAAACAACTAAGTTTCAGTTTACTACTATAGTAGAGCAGAACAAGATGCAAAAAGAAAACAAAAGATATGTCTCATTTAAATAATAACTCTATTTTATAGCCGACAGACTTCAACAGCTTGGCTTTTGTTGCATCAGAGAAAACAATGTTTTCTGCGGAAGTACAGAAATGCATTTGCCAACTTGGAAAAAGAAATCAACAACAACACCTTTAGAACGCAAGAAAAAAACAGGGTATTACGAAAGGAATGATGATAGAGAAAACAATCCTCTGATGAATAAAATCTGACTAAAGAAACGCAAAAAGTCATTGTTCTGTAGTGTTTTTCGTGTGTTATATGACGCAGTAATTATGCAATTTCTGCACATAATGTGCAATAATCATTCAAGATTACGATGGAGGTGGGGTAGATGTCGGCATAGCTGCTGCTGAATGTTAATCTCCCTTCAACTACAATTATATCAATGAATGAAAACAAAAATCATCAATAGTCTTTATGAAAGTGAAAACACATGGTTTCATTTAAACTATGTGAGATCAACGTTTTAGAAATTTCACACTAACATTTTCTGGTTGGAGAATGAATGAGGTATTTATCAGCTTAAAATTTGCTTCCAATTGATCTTCAGGATAGATTGAATAGTGTCGAAGTGGTGTGGGCCTGAAGTGAATATCTTGAGTTCTATCCACATCCACGCCCACACCACCGACGTTCGATTGGACAATAACTGATGAAAGGAGAGTAGCATCGCTCTATAATTTATTTCTGTGGCTACACAGAAATTGATTGTACGTGAGATCAGAGAGGTTGTTACGATNTAATCATTCAAGATTACGATGGAGGTGGGGTAGATGTCGGCATAGCTGCTGCTGAATGTTAATCTCCCTTCAACTACAATTATATCAATGAATGAAAACAAAAACCATCAATAGTCTTTATGAAAGTGAAAACACATGGTTTCATTTAAACTATGTGAGATCAACGTTTTAGAAATTTCACACTAACATTTTCTGGTTGGAGAATGAATGACGTATTTTTCAGCTTAAAATTTGCTTCCAATTGATCTTCAGGATAGATTGAATAGTGTCGAAGTGGTGTGGGCCTGAAGTGAATATCTTGAGTTCTATCCACATCCACGCCCACATCACCGACGTTCGATTGGACAATAACTGATGAAAGGAGAGTAGCATCGCTCTATAATTTATTTCTGTGGCTACACAGAAATTGATTGTACGTGAGATCAGAGAGGTTGTTACGATGCTTTTTAAAACGTGTTCTAAATTAACTTTCTGTAGTTGATCCAGAGTTGCATCCTTAATCGAGTGCACTGATCAAGTCATCGGTCTGAGAAAAACGAGTCCACATTTTCCCGCAAGTCAGTATTGTGACAGACAGCAGTGCAATAATACTTTCAGGTTGTACGAGACAAAAAATGCGTTCTAAATCGGATTTGTATGCCGAACTGAAATTAAGTTTCAATCGATCATAGCTATTGGTGACCACATATAGATTTTTACAAACTAGACGAACCGAAAGAAGAATGTTTTGAACATTCAGATGATCGAATATGAGATGAAGAAGCTCGATCGGTAGTGTAAATTGAGATGCGTTACACATCGATGGATGGTTTTTTGCATGCATAACTCAGTGGAGAACGAAAGAAAAAAAATCTTTATTTACTAAATTGTCAGTATAAATTGGTGCATTCTCTTGATTGCGTAAGTACGCCAACAAGCTGTTATGACTCATACATAAACAATTTTAGACTTCTACGTCGATTTGTTGAGGGTGTCTGTGTGCGTGTGGGAATTAGAAAAGAGTATCCATATCAACACCAACCCAATCAATTGTCCTACTTTCTGATTGAATTCATTGGATCATTTCTTCGAGAAAAATCGCGATGGTTTTTTTTAAATAGAATTGATAATTCGAAATTGTAATGTGTAAGGTTCCAATAGGCCAACTTGACTTAATTGATTTAATGCAGACGAATAAAAAGAAACTCTATTTACGATAATATAGAGATTCATACCTATGCAGATTTGCGTCTCATTTTATCGGCTGATGAACGCAGAAAAAATCTTTCCGATTACTTGTTACCCTTTTTTCACAACAACATTTTAATTGTTTTCATAACTTTCTTTTCATCAGCATTAGTTTTGCATACGTTCTTAAAATTACCGATGTTTCTCGCATTTTTTTCTTCAATCAAATACAGTTTTCGATTGATTATGATATGCGCTCCTATAGCGATACTTGTTTTAGAAAATATGAAATTTGATTTGCGAAAATCAGATGCGAAGCAATGGAGCAATATAAAAAAATAGGGTGATGATGATCCTGAAACGATTGCACTGAAGCTGCGATGCATTGGAATAGATTCGTGTCGCATTTCAAAGTCTGTTCAACAAACCATGTAAAGTTGATCGTTTTTGTTGAGAAAATAAAGACACACATGAGAGTTGATAACAATCTGAGAGTCAACTGTGATCATCAGAAATAGTTCACATCTCTGATTCAAGTAACAGTAGAGAGATGAAGAGATCGTCATGCGGAGTGCGGGCGAAGAGAAAGTTCTTATCCTCGTTGATAGTAGAATCAACTTCAGTTGGATCAACAGATTTTTTGCTATTAGGCAATATGTTCATTCTCTTTTCTTCTCAATTTGAATGAGAAAGCAACGGCAGCCGCATTTAAGCAAAGCGGCCTAGGCCTATTGTGTCACGTGTTCATTGTTGATGATTGGTGGATACAAATGTCTGCACATATGAACTTTAAATAAGATGAGAAAATCGAATATTACTGAATCATAAAGATGTTTAGCTTTTTCTTCGCATTTTTTCTTCGGCATGGTCCATCATCAGCTATCATATACAATCTCGAACTCTTACCGAACAAGATTTTGGTTGACATTCTCTGTTATCTCTCGATCTTAGATCTTGCCTATGGTTGGCTAGATCTGAACAGTCTCTTTGATGCCATTGTGCACAGCTGTCCTATTCGGCAAGTTTACAATTAACCAAAATGGTGAATGATCAACTGATGATTTTCTCAGAATCGAATAAAAACGTATGTTTATTTTAGGCTATGGCGACTGCAGTGGTGGTTTGCTTGGAGTTATTTTACTGATGCCACACTTATTCAATACTTTGCTTCTCAAGTTGTTTCTCTTGAAATTCATCAGCATCTCACTCTATCCGGCGTGAACAAAATTAATATTCTTTAGTACCCAAATCTTCGTCGATTGACTATTCATCAAACTACTTCATTTCAAATGAATGCCATTCAAGCAAATAATTTTCCTTATCTGGAATATCTTACTCTTTCTGCAACGGAAAATATCAGCTTCAATATTCTCTGTCAGTTCAAATTACTTCGTTCGTGTGGCTTAGGATCAATTCAAATCGACGATCAAGATATTTGTTCGTCGTCATCGATTCGATCGTTGATTCTTCAAAAATGCGATCCGTCGCAATTGCTTCATTTACTGCATCATCTTCCTCAGCTGATTCTTTTCAAAGTGAACTTTATTTGGACTGAAACTTCCGTTCAACAGTTCGATTTTACAGTCGATTTTGTCCATCAGAATCTGAGATCATTATACGTTTCTATGTTCAATGATGATTTTTCGGGAGAAGCGATTGATACCGATCGATGTGCCGTTGTTACCACATTATTCGCTAGTTTATCACTTGACCAACGTATTCGGTGTCATTTACAGCTGTTTGGCATGTCCAACTTCAATTTTGAGCAACTTCAACGGGCTCTACGCAGATTAAATTCGTGTCGCTTGTCATGTTTTCTCATCTATCACCTTCGATGGCATTCATTGCCAGATATCGATCATATTCGACAATTGTCATTATTCAATAAAATTCGACCAAGTCCTTGTAATGCTAACAACCTTCATACATACCGCTTAACATGGACGAATGTTCATTAAAATTTTTAAAATAAAATCGATGGCGGTGACTGAATTCACACATTTGACGTCATACAAGAGTTACGTGGCGGGGTGTGGGTGTGAGTGCGAATGGCCCCTTTGAAACCCACTCCCTGTCACAGCGTTACGTTTGGACAAGCCGATATATAGAGTATTATCTTGTTCAAAGTCTATACTGTAAGGTAAACTATTATGAAGAAATGTAACCCAATAGGCATAAAACAACAACTTTTAGAACATTGTCTATAGCAGCTACATCGTGTTTCACATTTTTAATTTAGCAAGGGATTGCGCTAACAGCTTTTGATGTATACTGGTTGCTCTTGAATTTCTCCTGTGAATAAGTAAATAATGTTATCGGTTTGAGTTGGTAATATAAAAACTACGATAAGTTACCAGAACTCTATTGCATCTCCATTGATTAGGTGACTTGAGTGTAAATGTGTGCAGGGTAAGTTGTTTTTCATATTGTGTACTTTGATTGAGCAAAAAGTTCTGTTATGACCTTATCGTATAATACTTGAACCCTTATCCTATCTTAATATGTAAAACTTCTATACCTACTTTTTCATACGAGGGTGTGATTGTGGCTGTGGGTGATCAAACAAGGAAAACTCACACCCAAATACTTGCATCCAATGTTGAATTTATCTCTGAAAGAATTGTTATCGGTTGTAAATGTTCGTAGTCAAAGATGAATTGTTCAAGGTAGAGATAAAACTCATTTTGTTTCTGAAATATGTACAAATAAACAACTGATTACTCTGATGAATTTTCACTTATATAGATACATTCGTTTGTGAACATGGACTCATCAAATGTTAATGTGAGTTCATCTAATTGATGTTCAATAAGATAAAATAATTTTCGAACTACTGGTTCAATTGATTCACATCAAATAAGAATAAGAAATTTAAGATTTGGAAAATTAAGAATATTATGATTAAATAATCATTCATAAATAAGATCAGAAACAATTGAATTTGTTTCATCAAAACGAATACGTTGAATAGGAAAAAGAAAGAGATGGTGATTTCAAAATTAATAAAAATAAAGTCGAACATTTATTACAAGGTAAATCTGACGTGATTCGAAGACCAGTGTTCAGTCGATTATGATTTATAGAAATGATTGAACTCACAAGAGAATTGAAACGACTATGTAATGATCAAAAAGACGTTAACATATCAAACCATGATAGATAAGAAAGAATATAATGAAGAATTTCATTTTGTAATGTTTCTATACTAGTTCTGGGAATCATTTTATCTAAAGAAGAAAGTTATTTTATGCTGAGGGTGTGGGTGTTGTACAGATTCAACCCCACACCCTCAAGATATTGCTTTTCAGTCCAAGATCAATACTTCGCGGCGATAGAAGATGGCTCATTTCTGCCGACGCCACCCGACGACGTTTTTATCCAACATGTAGACGAGCCAAAATTTAAAGTAAATGCTCTGCAGGAGGACGTGGCTAAACACCATGCACAACAGACACTAAATGTCATCGGTGATGCATTGACTAGGTCGTTGTTGGGATAGTCCCAATTCGTGCTGACTGTAAAATTTGAACAAGTGTTTATAGCTAAAACACGAATTTACATCTTGACAGCACAAAAGAGAAGAGAAAAGGGCACGATTACCTGTCGTCGTTGTCGTTGTCGTCGTCGCTGTTGTTGTTGTTGTCGTGGCCGTTGTTGTTGTGGTAGTAACCGTTGTAACCGTAGTTGTCGTGGTAGTCGTCGATATATCTGTATAAACTTAGCCATTTTTCTATTATTAAATATTCGTTTGCGCTTGTTCAATGACGCATGAAAACGCAGTTTGATATGAAGCAAATTGACATGCGATTAAAAATATTTAGAAACGCTTTCGGATGCAGTTTTTCTATACAATGCGTTTAGCCGCAATCAGAAGGGAAAATTAACCTGGGTGTTGGTGTGTCTACAAATCAGTTCACCCACACCCTAACTGTCCTCTGTCGTTTGGTATGTTGCATGAAAAGAGTCTCTGATTTCTAATAATCAAATTTTTATGAATATGTATGAAAAATCTATCCCTATTGTTGGTCACATTAGAATGACGGTAGTCCTAGTCAAATAGGACTAACTCCACTATAGAGAGCTCTATTGGGAAAAAAATTTGGATTTAGAGGTTCCAAACTTTGTGTTTTTGAATGTAAGCATAAATTTTGAAATAAAAATCTATCGAGTGCTTCGAATGCTTGATGCTCTCACAGACCCTTCCTTAAGCTTTTGATCTGAAGAGTGATCTGTAGGGAAAAAATTCTTTTGAGAGCATAAGGACCCTTCAACACTCATCAGTGTCAGAGTTGGTAATGATGTTTGAAGATTTATTTGGTTTTCCATCAGATCCACACAATAACAGTAAAGACGATGCATTTTATGTTTTCTCTCTGCATCCTCAAGGTTTAAAAGCAATCTCATCATACCAGTCGTTGTAGTCACTGTTTGCTCGTTGAATTTAGAAACGATCACATATACACTAACAGTCATGACTGCAAAGGCACATGCTATAATTATCGGCAGCATGAAAATGTGTATCCGGCATGGTTTCGCTTTAATCGTTGTAAGATCTTTTGCCAATCTCCTAAAATAGACAATATAATGTAAAGGTAGAAAATTATATCTCAGAAATCCTTTGGCATGCTTAGTCAATATATAAATATAGACTTCTCTGCCAATTTTAACTCCCACTCTCCCACAATATCCTTAGTACAGAAGCCTTTTGGCACAGTTTCACTAACGTTTCAGGCGAAGATTGATGATTCATAGACGGTGTAAGTATTCGAGGTGAATGAACAAGCGAAGATAAAGGATGATGCTTCTGCTGCTGATTTTCAACCTGTAGTTTGACCTAAACAAAAGATTTTATTTTCGAGTCGTTCTTCGGAAGATGATTGTGATGAATATTTTGATAATATATCGATAGCTGTACATACCTGGGATATATGCTCAAATAGTGTGCTGTTTGGGGAATGAAGCATGTGTACAAGTTAAAGAATATGTATTGAAAATATTCTGAGCTTTTACGCTACTTGATAAACAAACAGATTCAATAATATTTGAGTTTTCTGCCTTCTTAGTTATTCTTCTTCGTCGTATGGCTACAATACTTTTTTTTTATTGTTTAGTTATATATTTACGGTAATAGAGGCCATGCCAATACCACAGACGAAAGTTTGTATGCTTCCGATGTTTGAATTAACCTTGGAACTCAAAACTGCTACAGAAAATGCATTACTGGTGATTATTATTCAAATGAATCGAAAGGTATATATTTCATGGGGAAAAAATTATAAGCAGATTCAAGGTTTCTATTAAAGATGGATGTGAACAATGACACTCTGTTCTATTTTTTTTTCTGTATCGAGCATTGTTAACAGTGTCATGCACGTCATAGAACGGGGTTACATGTCAACAGCCACCTCTCGTTGATTTATTGAAAACTTGCATTATTGAAATCGATTGGTAGGAATACAAAGAAAAAACAATATAAGAAAAAAATAATTAAGAAAGCTTCAGGTAGGCAATGCAATATGAGATTGTAAGAAACTCGTGTAATAGGTTTCAATCCACAACTAGAGACGTCTCTCTCAATACAGTTTGAATGATGTTCACCTGGGTGCAGGTATTCTCCGTGGTATTGGCGTTTATTCAGGATAAGTAGAGAGAGAGTTCTAAAGTAATTCAAGCACCCTTGAATGTATGTGGGTGGATAATTGAATACGATTGAATCAACACCGATCGGCACCAAACCAAAAGCCTTGTGTGATGAGAGTGAGTCAGAAACATCTAACAGTTGATGCAAAATTTGAAACTCCATGCAGGACTTGCACATCGGTATATACAGGTCTAAATTTTGTACTGAATAATTTATATCCACACGCACAGTGCAGACTAATCTTTTTGCCTTATTCTATTTGGCGGTTGCGTGGTGCATTTTTTTCTCGTTTGTTTTACAGTTCGAACTTCATTGTTTCAATCAGCTCGTCACATATTTGTTTTAAATCTTCAATTTATTTTATTTCGATTTTGATTTTACGATGTACATCATTTGATTGCTTACATTACTCTTCTTTGACTTAAAACTTTATCTAGCGGTATGGAGAGAACGAGAAAATACATTGTCCGATATCACAGACTATTCTATGTTTTACTAGCTGCCATATTTTGGCGCCTTTAATGATCAGGATCTCTCTGTTTTCAGTCATCTCGTTTATTTTCTCGTGCAAATCAATGTTTGATGCGTCGAAAAAAAGAAATACTTTTTTTCAATTCGCGGAGCATAGTGCAAGAAAGTTGTTAAAAATTATTGAGTGTGGGTGAAAGAAGAACTAGAGAATGCAGAGTGTTCGTCAAGATCGGGTAAACATATAAAAAGAGAATAAAAATAAAATAGAAAAGTGGACTTACACTTACGGTGGACAAAAAACTTGATGTCTAACAACGAAATAATTCATGCTATATTGCATGATAAGTCATGAAAGAACGCATCATTTCTAACTCACATTGATGGTAGCAGTTGGTCTACTATTTTGTTTTTTGTCACAGTTTATCTTTTGATTTAAGAAGCACTCGGTTGTATCTTCACGGCTGAGAAATTTCATGAAGACTTTCTCAACTACGACGAAAGAACAGCACAAGTTTTTCTTTCATTATAACACAAAGCAAAGATCGCCTTGTCGAGCCACTATCGAAATCAAAACAGCAACAGAAAAAAAACGAACAATAAAGTGTGTGTACTAAGGGGGAAAAAGCGGATTTGGGATTTTGGGATTTTCTTCGGATCCCGGGATTTTTTTGGGATCCCCGGGATTTTCATGGGATTTTCTGGATCCCATCTTA